AGAAACAACTGTCATTTCATATACCCATTACAGGCATCAGAGTTTGACTACATTTTTACAGAAACAAACACATTCTCTAAAACCAAACGCGATGGCCAAACATTCCGAGAAAAATCAAGGAAATGCGTGAATAATAATTCATCAAACAGAGAAGAAGATCAGATTGATTGAAGAAGAGAGAAACTCACAGCTAACTTGGGAGTCGGAGAAAACGAGAGAGTTGTTCTGATTCCGAGCGTCTCTTCTCTCAGCGGTCAATAACGGCAGAGTTAGGGCGAAATTGAATTTTTAAACGCAAGATTAACCGCATCAGGAACAAACAGCTAAATTCACCAATAAATCATTCAATAACGGCTCCGGGATCGTCCAACGGAATTGAACAACAAGAGATCTTTTTGAGAAAACAGACCTCGAGAGGAAGGCTCATGAAATCGTCGGAGGGATTGGATTGCATCTCCTTAACCTCCTGCAAGATCCGCTTCACCGCCGGATTCTTCCGATTGTATTTGTCCCCCGCCATGGATCGAAGATCGACTAACCACCAGCACCGTCCGACCACCACTGTAGAAGTAGAAAAACGAAGGTGAGAGAGCAGCGAGAGCAGCGGCAGAGTTAGGGCGGACGGTGAAGGCTCATCGCCGTCGGTGAGAAGAGAATGCAGACCAAATTCAATTCAAAATTGAAATTCGAGGGTTTTAGGGTGAAATTGAAATGCACTATATTTACTCTTGAGAATAACTCTGATAAAATACATGTATTTCATCCAAATATAATTACATTTTATTTAGGTAAAAACAAACAATAAAATTGAATTTGACTACTTTAAATTCAAATACACACGGTCAAATTCAAGTTGCCAAACAGACCATAAACAATTATTAGCATACAGCCTAAGGACAGAAATAGAAAAACTTATAAAAAAGTTCAGGTACCAAAATGATCATTTATCCAAAAGAGAAGTCCTTCGCTGGTTTTGCTTTATCAAAGTGGCACGATGGCTGCTGCCTGGGAGTCTAAGCGGTTCGGAAAACACTTCCTACGAACACAGCAGAGCTTCGAACTCTGCGAATGGCAGGTTCCGCCAGCGGAATGGGGTCTTCAAATGCCTCACCGAATCCTTCTGCTCCCAAAATCCTGCTCGCTAAGCCTTCAGCGGGACTGGTCCTTGGTAAATTCGGACGTGGAGGCCCCGATGATGAAACGGTGCAACATCGGTCCCGTCTTCCTCCAGTTGGTTCCCTCAATCTCCTCTCTGATTCATGGGAGTTTCACATCGATCGCTTCCTCCCTGTAAGTGAAATTTGAGATTTTGATTTCCTTTCTCTTTCTTAGAAACCAAAAAGGACTTTTTTTTTTTTTTTTTTTTTGAAAATAGTACCTAATGTTTTGATTTTATGTTTAGCTAGAA